TGGTATTAGGTGAAGAGCTAGAATCCTCGAATTCGATATTGAGGTCTCTGTTAGTATCTGGAGTTGAGAGAGGGAGATGTTTTTGGAAATGCGTACTTTGAACGTAATAAAAGTGCAAAATGAAACAAAATAAGTGGGTGTTGGGATAGAGATGGAATTCTCAAATTTGGTATCGAGGTCACTGTTGGTTTCTAAGGCGGGCATATGAAGACGTTGAAATAGGTTAGAAAAATTGGATGTGGGTCTATTGTGGTTTTACTAATAAACTAATGGTTTTGCTAATAAACTCCAATATGAAAAATTTAGAAGATAAATCTACCATCTTCACAACAGATGTTGACAGAAATATTTGGTTGTGTGAAGTTTAGAAAGATTCAGATGTTTTTTTCGCCTCAAAGATATTTATCTTTGAGGGGGAAGTACCAACAGTATATATCCGATGTATATCACCTTCACACCACATCTTGTGTTGGTAAACATATTGGGATTTGCAGATGCTTCGGATGCTCATTTTGATTAGTCTTATCAGCTTCGTAGTTATTAAAAATGTTGACCTGTTACGGTGAAAGCACAAGAAGATCATTTCTATCCGTTCTTCATACCAGATCTAGTGTTCCACGAAATTTGAAGAAAATTGAACTATTTTTTAACATTTTATAAGAATTAATTTTATTCCAAATATTGACAATTTGTGGGCCTCGATTGTTGTTGTTGTAGCAGCAATACAAGCAGATGATTAGTTTCTACCAATCTGGTTCGAGCTCCAGGTTAAAAAATTCGGCTACCTTAATGGGCTGCAACCAGAGATCTTCTGGAGTGAGTTGAGTCGGTTTGGCGGTGCAATTAAAGAGGCGCAGCGTATTGTGTGGGCCTGTATCACACGCCAGGCAGACGTCAATTCGTGGCCAATACGAATTGAGACAACTATGTACCATGTTTGAAGGTAATAGTATACTCCCTTCGAGAGTTATCGCGCGTACTAGACAGACGAAGGGACAACCCTTGATTGACTCCGAATGTCCTGAAACACTTTTCTTCCAAAGATACATAGGGTCTAAAACCGAGATTTCGATGAGGTACGTTTTGGCTGTATCGAATAATACATTCCCTCCGTAGCCTTACGGCTGAGGGTTAAAGATTTTGAAATCTATTATTAAAAAAAATATCCATGAATTGTTTGAAAACACTTTTAAAAATGGATAGCGTTTTTTTAACTATTTTCAATACTCTGCCAGGAAGTTCCTTTGTCAGCCCAACATTTATTTATTATAACCACGTAATCTTTAAAAAATATCCTTGTAAATCCGCATTTCTTAGCTCGTGAATTTGAAAGGAGGATGTCAGGCCATAGAACACATGTAAAGAATTTTCTTGCCATAGGGAACCTGAAGAAGGTTTCTTAACTAAAAATAGCTTCTCTAGCACCAAAGGTCTCCTTTGAAATCTCTTCCAGCTATTATAGGTATAGAAGATCTATAAAAGCCCTTATAACCTTCACAGATCTACCGAACGTTCTCTAGGTGTATAAGACCCCTTAGAAGTTTTCTAGCTAATATAAGACCTGTGAAAGCTTTACAAGGTATTGAGGTATTGAACAGGTACTTCTACTTTTGGAAGGTATGCGAGAGGCATTCTAGCTATTGCAAGGTTGAGATAGCTCCTCAAGCTAGTAATGACGTATAAAATGTCTTATATCTATGGAAGACTTTTGAAAGATGTTCTCTAGATTGTAGATCCATTAAAAAGTCTTTAAAGGTCTTTAAAGGCCAACGAATTAGCTTCAATGTACCGTAAAAAGTTTTTATATGTTCAATATCTGTAGAGAGTCTTCTGTAGAAGAGCTACAGAAAGTCTTCCGTAATCGAACATTTGTTTACTAGTTCTTATTTTGCGAAACGAGTGTTCGAGAAGAAGTACCTTAATATTGTCGATTTTCCAAAAAAAATCCCTTCGCTTTTTTCGATACAGAAGAAGGCGTAAAGCTCGTATATTTTAAGGGCGCCTAAAATCCCCTTTAACAATTTGAAGGGCTGTGAAAAGACTTTTATCTATAGAACCTCTGTAACAAAAATTTCAAAATACACGAAAAATTTAAAGTTGCTTCAGAAGCATTTTTATAGAAGACCAGATGGCCAGACGACTAGAAGGTCATCTCATAAAAGATAAGAAGGTCATCTAATAGAAGACCAGAAGAAAATAAAACATTAAGTCATGCATAAAAAAACACAAAGTCATCATCTCTCATAAAAAAAGACAGTCTTCTCTCATTGAAGACCAGAACAGGCCTTCTCGCATAGCAGACCAGTCTTCCCTTTTTCTCTTCCGTTGAAAGACCAGAAGGCGTTCTTCTCTTCACTCATAGAAGCCCTTCAGGTTTTCTGCCAAAGAAGACCCGAAGGTCTTATCTCATAGCAGACCAATAGCTCTTCTCCCAAGTCAGACCAGTAAGTCTTCTCTGATTGAAGACCAATAAGTCCTTTTTTCTTCTTCTCTAATAAAAGACCATAAGTTCTTCTTATAGAAGATCAAAAGGTCTTCTTGTAGCAGACCAAAAGGTCTTCGCTCATAGAAGGCCAGAAGGCCTTCGCTCATAGAAGACCATAAGGTCTCCTTATAGAAGACCAGAAGATCTTCGGTAATATGTGACCAGAAGATCTTCGGTAATATGTGACCAGAAGCTCTTCGCTCATAGAAGACCCGAAGGTCATCTTACATAGATTACCCGAAGGCCTCTTACAAAGAAGACCCGAAGGCCTCTCACATAGAAAAGCCGAAGGTCTCTTACAAAGAAGACCCAAAGGTCTTTTTATAGAAGACCCGAAGTTCGACTTATAGAAGACCAGAAGGTCGTCTTCTTATAGAAGACCAGAAGGTCGTCTTCTTATAGAACATCAGAAGGTCTTCTTATAGTTTATAGAAGACTATTTATCTGTAGTTTACTGTGAGAATTCTTCTATCTGATCTCCTAACTTCAACTAAATAGTAGAAGTTCTTCGATCTTTAGACGAACTGTAAAAAGTCTTGAAGTTGTAAAAAGTCAGTGAAAGCTATTCCAGCAATAGAAGAGCCCTGACCCCTATAGCTGTTTCTCCTTATTTTCTCTATCCCACTCAAACCACTGTTCTTGCGAAAAAAATCACTTTAAAAGAATTTCCCTTTTTTTCTAGCCCCATCTCTCTGCCATAAAACTTTAATGTGACAATTATAAGGGAGGGAGGGAGGGAGGTGAAATTAAATTGATAACAAATGAAGCTTTAAAGACATTCATATAAATAAATATTAAATAAAAAACGATGACTGCCTCGAGAAGGAGATACGCAGAGAATCCGAAACAAGGACTTTGCAGCACTTTTCAGGCCAAGGCGGAAGAGGAACATTAAAGGGGTTTTCCGGGCGGCGACGATGAGAAAACGTGTTGTAAAACGTGTTTCAACGAAGTCATTAACATTTACTACACACACACTCACCCACCTATAGACAACCACACACACACACACAAATATCCAACACACATTTGCTGGCAAAAGGCGAAGACTATTATCAGCTGTTCTTTTAAATAAATACGTGAGTTATATTTTTGTTGTCAGAAATTTAAAAGGGGAAACGGAAACGGCATGGTATTGCTGGCATGGCAGACAAACACAATCCGGACCACAGGAACGTGTAAATAAAATAAAGGATTAAAAGAATTCATTTGCTCTACTACAACGACAACGAAATCTTTGGTAGATGTCTACAGCCAGTAAATTATGTCAGTTACATGTGCCCTAACATGATTGAACATGTTTATTTTTATTTTGTAAAGAGGAAAAAGAACGTATATTCTCCTTTTAAACGGAAATTTAAAATTTATCTAAATTTGTTTTGGAATTTAATAGACAACCAATGTGAAATAGAATACCACTTCGCGTTTCCTTTCAATGTAAAATCTTTTGTAAAGATTCGTTGTTTTTTTACTCTTTGTTTTTGTTGTTTTCACTCCATTGACAAATAAACAAAAATATTCGGGGAGTCCAAAAAAAAGCTCCCTTATTTTACTTCTGTTTTTCAAAGTAAATACTGCGCATGTGCCCTTTTTTGATTGAATAATCCACAGTTCGTGTGTGTGTTTGGCGGCGGCAAAGGAAACTCCCCATTTCGAAATTTCACTCAATGGCCCAAAAACAGGGGAAGTTATCTGTTTTCTCTTCCAAATGCCATGGCGTAGGAAAGCACACAAAGCCAACATGGCCCCACGGGAAATGATTTCACCAACTCTTCGTTTGGCTTTTCCTCTTTTTTTTCCCATATCGGCCAATTATCAAAAATATTTTCAACAGGATTTCCCCTCATTGTTTCCTGGTGTGTTTGTCTGTGCGTCGCCGTGGTCTATACAAATATCCTTTCTGTCTCAATTTCCAACTCCGAGGAATAGCTGAACTTTACAAATTTTATTAATGCCAGAGGTCTGTAATCATTCAAGCATTGCGTTGCGTCCAAACACGCCACAAAACGCCATTTTTACAACGCACGTTCTACAATTGTCCTTTGTGAACCGTTCCGAGGCATAAGAGTGTATTTCTGAGTGTATATGTGTTTGCGTGTGTGTCTGTGTGTGAGTTCGTGGTGTCTATGTGTTTAGGTGGTTGGAAAAACAATGGACGGTTTATTTAAAACCTTAAGAAATCGACCAGAAAATCCTTGCCGAACAATCAACCAACCAGCCGAAGTGTTTAATAGTGAAAGCTACATAACCAGCAATTAAAGCTTTAATGAACTTCTTATAAAAACCTTTTTTGTAAAATCCTGATAAGATTGCGATTGATGTGGATGTGTGCGTGGGTTTAACAACATTTAAGTAATTGGACACAAAAAAAATAAACGCCTTCAAAAACTGCAATAAATATTTCTGAAAAATTCAAACACTTGAAGGACTTTTGAGAGCAGACCCCAAAAATATTATCTTTAAAAAATGAGTGTCACCAGATCATAAATAACAGCATTAACTATTGAATTTGGAATACATTAAAGAGTTCGCCAACCGTAATCATGATTGAGGAACACCATCCCATGCAAATGGGAATGTGTAAGTATGTCATAAAAATTGTGTTTGAAACGCCACAGTCCTTTTTTGTCACCGAGAATATTTGAACTTAACCGTCGGAATGCTAAACTTCTTACACAAAAATTATATATACATGAATTCCGACGGCTAAGTTTATGCCCACGCCGGCGGTCCTTTCAACATTAAGAACCTGTTCAACAAACTTATTTTGCAAGTCAATTTTTTTGTTTTTGTAAAAAAAATGTAAATTAAATCAAATAAAAACTTAATTGTCTGGGTAGCAATTGCTTGTTTGACATGAACAAAAGTTCTCTGGACAGACTATAAATGCTTCTTTTAAAGTCTATTTCTGAGGCTGCTTTCTTGATCTTAGAAAGTATCAGTCGTTTTGTCGCCAATATTCACATACGTTTATTTATATTAAAGATATTCGACGAAAAACTGTGGATTTGTATTATTATTCCCCATAAATAAACAAAGATTTTAAAGAAAATTGTTTATGGACTCATTTCAAAAATTTTGGATTTTAAAGACATTTCAATGGTTTCATACCAAAAAAAAAATTATTTTGGAAAAACACTCTCTCAATAACTTCATGTGCCAAATTAACAATTTTTTAGGAGAGGCCTTTGCTTTTTAAGAAAACTTCTGCAAAAATTATTTAAAAAATATTCTTATGAAGCCATTGAAAATTTGTTTTTAAATCCCCGATTTTTGAGAAGGAGTTCAATAAAAAATATTCTAAATGTTGTGAAGAAATCTTTCTAAACCCGTAAACAGCCTTAACTTAATTTTTGGATAAAGAACCTTAAAAATATTTTTGAAAAGAAGTCCTTGATGAAATTCTAAATTTTCAAAAAATCCACAATTTTTGTTCATATAGATTTTGCTAGAAAAATTCTACCCAAAACTGACAATGACGGATTCAAAAAATCCATAATTTTTGGACAAAAAGATTTTAAGAAGCTATATTTAAAATGATAGCACTTGATCCGACCTATCCCCCATCCTTACACTAGATCTTGTATTGGTAGAAATAGAAAGAATCGAATGTTTACTTTGGTTTTGGTTATTCAAAATTTCGTTTCACACCGGACCTAGAACAGATAAAATATTAGGATATGCAAAGTTTAAACAAAATGTAATGATCCTTTCTCTTTCTTGAAGTACATTATTCTCTTTAAAAATGTTGACCTTTTATGGGGGTGGTTTGTCCATCTCCGAAGTCGAACTAAGATTGACAATAATATGCTAATAAAAATAAATTACGAAATTGGATACTCCCTTGGAGAGTTATCGTGCGCAAACATTAGTAGGGACGAATATCGGATTTGGTCCAAAGATACCAGGGGCATAAAACCGTTATTTCTATAAGGCGTGTCTTGGACCTATCAAATGATATATACCCTCTGTAGCCATGTGACTTAGGGTATAAAAATCCATGAAGACCTTGTTAATTATATTCTATACAATACTGGCTTTAAAAATCCTCTATATAGCACCCGATGAAGATGTTTCAAAGATTTTAATATTCGAAAAAAAAATTGACAGTAGAACGATATTACTAAAATTTCCATGTACGAAGTTTGGACCAAATCGGTTGCTTCCTTCGAGAGTTATCGTGCGTACCAGCCAGACACACAGACAGATGGAGGGACGGACATCGCTAGATCGACTTCATTTCATATCCTGGAATGGATTTTGCCCAAAGAGAACTTGGGTGTAAACCCGTTATTTCGATAAGGCATGGCAGCCAAAATGCAGAGGGTATAACTTTGTTAACAATATTCTATACAATTCTGGCCAAAAAGGTATTTGAAAATCCACCTTTGTTAGCCAGAATTGTTTTGAAATACAATCTTAAAAATATTAGCACTCGGCCAAGAAGTGACGATTTTAATATTCGAAAAAAAAAATTGACAGAATCTTCATTCCAAATGGAGTGGAACGCTATTGCCCATCACCGAACTCGATCTAAGTTTGGTAATAATATTACGATGTGCCAACTAAGGACCAAATCGGATTCGAGATAGACGCTCCTCGGACGGAGAGACACCCCTAGATCGAATCCAAATGTCCTGAAACGGATTTGGTCTAAAAAGACCATGCACGCATGAAATGCCATATGACATATGGTTGTAGTCATATTGCTGAGGATATAAAAAATATTGTGTATAGTCCCATATTTTTGTAAGGAAAAGTAAAAGATTGCATTTCTAAATTCGCTCTGAGAGAACAGCTTTTTCCACAAAGACAAAATTTCAAAACTAGATGGATATCCTAAAAATCAACATATCAGTTGCATTTACTTAGTAATAAGTTTAAAAGTTTCAGCCCGTTTTCCGAAAGATATATATCCTCAGCATGTGTCCATATATTAATATAAACCTTTTTTGGGGGACGTACCATGAATCTCTCATTCCCTCTCCACATTCCCTCTTTATACTAGATCGAATGTTTATAGATATAATGCTGTGTGGAACTGCCAGAGAATAAATTTGCATTTTATGAGAGTTATGAATAAAAACAATTTTGGTCCTTTGTGGGACACTTAACAGAAGGAGTGAAAAGTCTCTTTACAATTCACGAGAATAATTTGAACTCTACGATATTTTGCAGAGAATTCAATGAAAATATATTACAAAAAAATCTATTATTTTTCATCAGAAAATACCTTACAAATTATTCTATTTTTTTTTTTCTTTTCGGCTAGGAAATTGTAAAATTTATTAAAAAAACACCGGACACTCTTTCAGGTGCTCTTTTACAACATTTATTTAAACATCATAGTTTCTCAAAAAACTTTAATTTTTTTTATTTTTGAAACCCCATTATTATTTTTCAGAAAGCTATTTAATAACATTTTCAAAAAAAAAAAAATGGTCAGCAATACCCTGTAAAAAATTAATAAAATCCAATACTTTTGACCACGTAGAAAGCCTTTTAATAATATTACAAAAATACAAAATATTACAAAAAAAAAAGAAATTTTGGGTTAGAAAATGGAATGGAGATTTGATAGAAATCTTCTGATATTCGAAATGTTGGCTATTTGTGTGAAGGAATAAAATAAAGTGGATAGTTTTCACACTTACTCAAATGTGTGCAAAAATATTTGCATGCACGAAGTTGAAGAAACTCAGAGACTGATTTCACGTATTTTAAGTTTTATTCTTATTGGACGACATTTTGATTTTCTCATCTAACCCTTCTTCATGGTCTTGATTTATGTGACTTTATTTATTGTGACAAATTAATTTTTTGAACTTTAATCAATTTTTGAGGAAAATACTGGGGAGAGTGGACACAAGATGTAATATTGGCGAAAATGTACTATGTACTCCGTACTATGGAGGGTATATTAACTTCGTCATTCGGTTTGTAACTCCTCGAAATTCTCATGTCAGGCACAACGTAAATTTCTCGTCTTTAATAATTTTCGTAAATTTCTAAGTCGATTTAGCGATGTTCGTCTATCTGTTGTAATCACGTCATCTTTCGAAAGAATTGAGATAGAAGGCTTAAATCTTGCACACAAATTTTCCGAAAATGGGTCATGTCGGGTCAACGTTTTGGTATAGACTCCATATAACGGTACCTCTCAACATTCGGTGTTTTGATGATTTTAGCGACATTAAAGATTGAAATTGTTTCGATTTTCTTACCTCTCAATATTCGGTATTTTTATGGTATTAGAGACATTATAGAGTGGAATTGTTTCAAATTTCGTATTTAATAATTCGAAATGCGTACTAAAGCCTATGTATATGACGATAATGATTTTAAATTCACCGTTTCAAACTTCATATTTGAACTTTGCAATGGATACCTCAATCTATGACAGAAAATTGTACGTGCAGGTCCATACATAACGGTACTTCTCGATATTCGGTATTTTTATGATTTAACGACATTATTCGTCGGCATTGTTTTTAAATTTCGTATTTGAAGGTCCTAATGGGTACTACAGCCTATGATAAAAAAATGCGAATGCAGGTGGTCGTCTTCGCATAGTCATTTTTTTTTTTTTCATTTAAACGGTATTTTTCGTCGAAATTTTCTTAACATTTTGCAACTTCCTTCCAAATAGTGGAGGGTATAAAATGTTCGGCCCGGCCGATTTTAGTTGCTTATTTACTTGTTAAATGTTCAACTTTTTCGTACGCCCAAGCAGACAAAGGACTGATGATCTCATACACTCTTCGAGAGACTGATGATCTCATACACCCTTCGAGAGATATCATGCCCATCTATCAAAACGCAGATGGTCAGACAACGGTAGATCGGTTTCAAGCGTTTTTCCCCATACAACTAGGATTATTAATATAACATATGTTCAACAAAGCAAAAATAATTTTCTTTATTAAAATTCTGTTGCTAGGACATTTTTGTAAGGCAGAGCTCTTTTTTATTAGAAGGTGTTACTTTCATCACTTTTCCAACAAAGGACGAGCCAACAAAAATCTAAACAGAAGTCAATCCTTCAATAGCTCCAAAATATTTTTTTGCCAGACAATGAAATAATACATTAAGCTGCTCTAAAATGTCACGCAGAGTCATTGTTCGGTGATTTGATTTTATATCCCCGGCTACTCTCTAATCTGATTAGAGTTGGCAATCACACGGATAGTACACCTGTTACGCTGCCACCATGGACGGCAGTTATGCCCTTCTTCCGTATGTATGGCATAGCATGACCAGAGAAATTCCGCATATGCCTTTAAAACATGACTTTGCATGATAAGCAAAGATTTACACTTGTTCAATGCAACAACAGAAAAAAAAAACGAAATATATTTTAAACGCCATAAAAAGGAACTCACAAAGGCCACCCTTGTTAGGACGGACAACCACATGCGAAAGACCAAACATTAATGCTGTTGCTGCCTTTTTTCTCTCTCTCCGTTTCTTCTATGCCACGAGGATAATGATAAAACGTTTTGTTTACTAATTAGAAACTAATGTGCCAAGGGCAGACGAATACAAATACAACAACGATCCAAATCAAATGATATGGGATG